ATTTCCATGTTATTTCTGTGAGGATTTCAGTTCCTCTTTTACATTCTCGCATCGTCTTTAAACATATCTTTTGATCTATTTAATTATTCCATTATCAAATATCATATACAGTAGCTGCCCCTTGTAAACTTCGGGAATTGTGCTTAACCCATGTATATTTTCAAGAAGAGACCACTATAGCTTGGATATATATTCCTTTTCCTCTGAAAAAAGAAATTGTGGTTTTAACCACTAATCACCACTAATGGAAGATGCACTTTGCTATTCCTGACTACAATGACATGAAAAATTTCCAAGGGAAGTCAATATTAGATCAATTTAAGAAAGGCACTCAGGAGGGTGTAAAAGGCACCCAACAGGGTTTTATTGTGTAGTACTTTAAGTACCGTGGTTGACCAGGGAGCATTTAAAGCTATTTTCCTTTGACCTATGAAGACTTTTAAGTGGAGAAAGAGAACTTTGCAACAGGTACAGTCTTTCTACATTAATTTTCTGATGCATCGTATCATTCCAGAGGACATCAGGACAAATGTTTAAAGTTAATGGAGGGCATGCTGTGGTGATGTGTATCACACTGGAAAGAAGCAGCCGAGGGATGGCACTTCCTAGAAATTACAGCAGTTAGGCAGATATATTCCACCTAGGTCTTATACAACCATAGAACATCCACAAGGGTGTGCAGAAATAGTCAGGGCAAACTTCAGAGACTAGCATCTATACAGAAGATAGGCCCTTTCATCTAATTGCAAAGTTTCCCTTCACTAAAAACAACTCTTTAAATATTTGCTTTGATGAACTCTGGAAAGACACAGTGCACGAGAAATGTGTGTTTCTGTCTCCTCTTACTTATTTAGTATCTGACTTCACATTATATCATATGGAATGTGGGAAGGTGACTGGTCCCGACAGTTTTTCGTCTGGCTTGGAAAACTGTTTGGTGGGAAAATATAAAACCCCTTCCAGTAGTGACCAGCGTGGTCAGGCAGAGCCGCCTTCCCAACACTGACAGTGCTGCAGTTTGCCTAGCCAAGGCTGGGCTGGGAGAAGGTGGTTGTGTGGTTAGGGCATCACATATGAACTCAGGCCAGTAGTCTGCATAGCTCCAACCCCTGTGACCACTTTTCCCTGCCCCATCCAAATGCGCAGCACACTGGTCTCAGGAAAATGGCTGCTACTGCCCTCTCCAAGTGTGCTTGATGCAAGTTAAGTAACTATGTGAGGGAGGAAAGTGGGGACAAGTGCCCCACCTCCACACCCACCCTGTGACTCTTCTGGCCATGCTCCACATGTTGGCTGGGCAAACTTCTGTACTCATAGAAGCTTCCTACACATTTTAGATCCTGGATTTTCCACTTCACAAGTTATGACAGCGATAGGACACCAACATGCTGGTCCATGCTACCCTCCCTAAGTCTCCCTAAAGTGCTTGATCGGACAGTTCAACAACTTCAATCCCAATCCTAAAAAAAAAGCTCAACAACTTTGGTCGGCCCTCACCACACATTTACCTCATCAAATCTGGCACTCTTTGAAAAAAGTTTGGGTACCCCTGGTTTAGCCTGTTGGAAGGAAACAGAGAGACAGAGCCTCAAGCACAAGAATGAAGGTCTCTTGTCCCAGTGCATTTCAAAAATTGCTTCTTCCTCAGGGGCGCTTAGATGCCTCCAGGTTTAGTGCTACATGAACACCCCCTGAAATATATGATTCACCCATCGTCCCTTTCCTCATCTCTTCTGGAGCATCTCCAAGGAGAATAATGGAAGCATTTACTTCGCTTTGCAAATAGCTACAACATTTTTGCAATAGTAGTGTTTTGCAGTGTGATCATATGCATGTCTATTCAGAAACAAGGCCAACCAGTTAAATAGTACAGTTGTACCTTGGAAGTCAAATGGAATCTGTTCCGGAAGTCCGTTCAACTTCCAAAACATTCAGAAACCAAAGTGCTTCTGATTGGCCGCAGGAAGCTCCTGCAGTCAATTGAAAGCCGTGGAAGCTCCGTTGGACATTTGGGTTCCAAAGAACGTTCACCAACTGGAACACTCATTTCCAGGTTTGCGACATTCAGGAACCAAAACGGCCGAGTACCAAGGCATTCAGGATCCAAGGTATGACTGTACTTGCATGTAATTGTGTATGAGATTATAGCCTAAGAATGTTCATGGTCTTTGCACTATTATTCCCACATAGTAGATGTAGAGCTATCCTCATTGTTAATCGTGACTTTTCTTTCTTCCTCAAAACAGGACTTGTAAGACACTTTAAAGAGGATTTTTGTTCAGATTTTGCCCTGCCCTACAAACCCTATTTAAATCAAACAAATATTGTTTCTTTATATTGATTTTCCTTTTATAATAATTCCACCCTGCTGTGCTATTCTGGCTGCTTCTGAGTAGGTGCCATAAGCTCCACAGGTTTGCAGACAATATTAATTTCTCCCTCGGGGACGTTTGATTTGCATTAAGAGGAACAATGCTTACGTAGCTTTCTCTGGGGCTCTAAGTAAATGAGAGCATTTATGGCAGTGCATAGGATTGAAGAACAAACAAATGATGCCATCAGCTGAGTTTTTAAGTAGATCCACCTGTGCACCAATGTCCACATAAGGGACAATGACCTGTTAACAGCAGCAATAAGCCCATTCATTCACGCAGGCTGTGCAGAGTGGAACCGTTGGCCAAGTGCATTCAGAAGAACATATTTTAAATAGGGACAATATCAATAATTGCAGGTCAGGCATCACAAATCTGGTGTGGCAACAGGGCTCCCTCCATTAGCATGTCAGCACAGGTTGTTATTCATTAGCATATTTCATTGAGGGAAACAAGGAAGGGATGTAGACTGGCTCCATTGATTCTATGTGTTGCTGCTGGGGGTAAATTACTTCATTGGATAAATAAATGAAGGCTTTGTTCCTTGGGAGTTAAGTTCCACTGAGCTCCTTGGGAATGGATTCTGAGCCGATAGGCATAGGATGGTGCTGTCTATGTCTGATAAATCCGTGATATTTAAGAGTAAACAAATACGCCCAGCCAGTATAGCTTTTAAACAGAACAACCTGGTATATTGAAAAGAATGTGTTCCTTGCAGTCACTCTCCCTGAAACCCAATGGATGGGCAAATGATTTAGCTGCAGCCAGATAAATTGTGGGCCTCTGAGTTGACTGTGAAGAAGTGCAAGCCTTATTTAGCCCACAAGACAACACAGCTATTTTTTAAATACCCCCTGCTGTATTATGACCTCTTAAAAGTTCAGCAACGAATAGCAATTCTCTGCCATCTGTTTTGATGATGCATTTCTTCCTTTTAGGCAATGTGGATGTGGCCACCTTATGCTTAGGTAAATTTCTCAAATAACTGAGAAGGAGCATGCCTAGAGCTCTTGGGGTGTTGGGGATGATAAGGTAAAGAAGATGAGTCAGAAATTAGAAGGAAGATGCTGCTGAGCACATTTCTATGCCTGGGAGTGTATAATGGTTGCAAATGCACAGAAGGCTTGGGAAAGTTGAAGGCGTCTCTCACATTGCAATGAGTTTTGGATTCAGCAGAAATAGACCTTATCTAACCTGCATTGTGGGGTAAGATAACACCCCACCAAACCAATTCTGGGTCCTCTTGCTTATGCAGAGGATTTGGGAGTGGGTAAAGGAAATCAGCCCTGAGTGCTCACTGGAAGGGCAGATCCTGAAGCTGAGGCTCCAATACTTTGGCCACCTCATGAGAAGAGAAGACTCCCTGGAAAAGACCCTGATGTTGGGAAAGATGGAGGGCACAAGGAGAAGGGGATGACAGAGGACAAGAGGGTTGGATAGTGTTCTCGAAGCTACCAGCATGAGTTTGACCTAACTGCGGGAGGCAGTGGAAGACAGGAGTGCCTGGCGTTCTCTGGTCCATGGGGTCACGAAGAGTCAGACACGACTAAACGACTAAACAACAACAACAAATGGTGACTACAAATAATTTCTGGCTCATGATCCAAGTCAGTATTTGGGTATCCCAGTGCATTTCAATTTGCATCTAGTTCGGAAATTAAATCAATGAAGACCCCCCCCCCTTTACAAACACCTTCTTGCTGTTTTTAGAAGTTAAGCTATTTTTTGCATGGGTTGAGTGTGAAGGATTTCCAGCTAACATATGGCAGCATAGCATTCCATAGATATTTGTTATTCCCTTAATGCTCCAACAGAAAATCTCTTTTAAAGGCCTACACTAAGCACATGACATAACTATCACATGTTTAATGCAAGCAAAAGGCTTGAAGAGTACTATTGGGGAAAACCTACAACTCTCCATTTTATGTACATATTTCCATTTAAAGGAAATCTTATTATACACTCAAGGAGGCTAGACAAGCAATGAAAATGCACCAGCCGACATTACGCATCAATCGTACAAATTATTAAATTTTTTATTTAAAATATCTCCTCCAACAACCTCAGGAGGGACTAAGCTTTCAGTGGTAAGTGTTTGATTTTCGATTTTTTTTCTCCCTTCAAAATATTATTCCTATTCAAACTAACTTCCGAATTTTCTTCTTCTAAAAATTATAAGGAAAAGTATGATACAAATAATGTGAGACAAACTGAGGGACTGTCTCACCTGAATGCAGTCGAGAGGTCAAACCAAAGCTGAAGAAGAACCAAGAAACGGTCTGAATTTTTATATTTTCATGAACTTGAGGAAAAACCTGAACAATCTTTGTTGATCCTGAACTTGAAACTTCTGGTCCATAGGAGTGGGAGTGGGGCCTACTTGTTGTTTTCCTCAAGGTGATCTCAGTGATTGGCTGGAGACTTATGGAATAAGGTAGTCCTTAAGGTGTCTTGGGCCGAAGTTGCTCAGGACTTTGTAAACTAATGGAATCTTGAACCTGGCCTAGTAGTAGATGGGAAGCCATTTCTCCAGTCTTCTGCTGCCTTCCTGACTGCCCACCTGGGAACATAGGACGCTGCCCCTAAACTGACTCAGACTATTGGCCCATCTTCTTTTCCAGATCTACCTGGAGATGTCAGAGATTTTATCTGGAATCTTCTGCATGCAAAGCAGATGCTCTACCACTAAGCTATAACCGTTCCTCCTTTCCTGACTGGAAATATTCCTCGTGGAAGGAGTTACCTGATGATGCCTTCCCCCTGAGTTTTCACTGAAGTGCAGGTACCCAGGAAGGATACAGCACGCAAACCACAGGTGATTTATAGAATGAAAGGAAACTCACAAATGCCCCATGACCTCCTTAAAAGCCAGTTGTGTAAGTGCAACTGAAACCCTGTGCCTATGAACATTTCATCATAACCCTTTGCCCGGCCAATAAACATTTCACCAATTTCCTCTTTCTCATTTGAAAGGTTTTGAATGCAATTTCTTTTCCTCAATGCTTTTCTCTTTCTACACTCCTACAGAATCAGTGCAAGTTCATCTTGATTTTTACCTGCGTTCATTTGCAAAAATATTAGGGGCTCATCCTGCTTCCACCGATTTGTCGAATCTTTAGCGAGTTCAGCGAGAGCAGCCAGATAGGATACATAAATGACAGGAATGAAGCTAGCTGTTACAGGCTTGCTGACAACTATGGTTGTTGAAAAAACTAAATAATTCAGAATGATCCCCATCATGTATTGATTGAGCATAAAAATTATTGCGAGCGAAAAGTGTTTTGTGAGGGGAGGGAGTATAATATGTATTGAGCAAAAAAAAAACCCAAAAAGTTCTTTGACATTCATTTTTTCCTTACCTCTAGCCCAAAGCTTTGTCTTCAGGCTTTGAGTGAGATTCATTCTCCTGCAGGTAAGTCTGCTGAAAATTCTAGCCTGGGGGTATACTTTTTTGCTTTGTATTTAATGCTGTTTGAAGCTACTTGAGTGAAACTTGTGAAATCCCTAGTATCACAGGAGAGGTTTGTGTTTTCCACTTAACCCCTGAGTTCTAACTGGTGTTCACAAATTGTCTGAAAGACCTGCTGTATGTATCTGTTTCCACATGCTAGGGAAGATCACTTCACCCACTGTAGACCTGAGGTACTCTCAGTTGCAAGCCATCCTTCACTCTGAATATCTCTTTGGCCATATATAGAAAACTCAAAACTATGACCGACTTTTGTGGAAATTAAAGTCTGTTCAAGGAACTATTTTTTTCACACTTACTGTACTGTCAGGAAGGAAAGAAAGAAACAAGCTAACTGTGAATCAGCTGTTAATGTCAAAGAGAAGAGTAAAAATTGCAAGGCAGGTTGCATTTTTAGCAGAGGGGCTTTTGGGCATGGGGAAGGGGCTTATTTACACAGACAAGACTAAGAGAGGGTCATCAACAATCAAGAAACGAACGTGATAGCTACATTCACCAAACGTTAAACCTGGAAGTTAATATATATTTTAGCACTCATAAAACAAATGTAAGTTCCAAGATTACTCCGCGTGCTGAATCTACTTGGCATTCTCTACAGCTTCTTTGCTGCTGTAAGATTCGCATCGTATAGCTTTTGGCAGTCCCAGCAGAGTAAGCTCTTTCCACTAACAAAATACAGAATGCAAAATTAATAAAAGGACCCTTTGAAACTGACAAATGTGCCTGAGGCAAACTATCTGCCCAGCAGCTGGTTAAATTTTAATCAGTTATTTTTTTTCTTCCCCCTAGTCCTGTATATCTTTTGTATAGAGCTCCCTTGCTTGAGTGTGGCCAAAGTTTGCTTAAAAAAAGAAAACATTGGTGGGTGAATCCCTAAGGACAGACCTCAGAACGAATTAAGTTCTTAACCCGAGGTACGACTGTATTTGTTTTAACTTGAAGAAGGGGGCAAGTCCTTTTGTCCTGGCAGAGCCTGCTGGTGCCTGCTTGGCCCTCCCTGTCATCTGTTCTCTCACAAACAGGTTTACCTGGCAGCGGCATCTGAAACTGTAAAACTGACCACCATGTTAGAATTCTAGATCCAGGCATCACCTCGGATCATTCAGTGTCACTATGTTAAACTTTCTGGTTCATTTGTGGGCAATGCAACACGGCAGGAAAGTTTCCAGACCCAAACACTGCTACCAGGTAAACCTGTCAGTCAAGGAGGGCCCAGCCAGTGGTAGTGCCCTCATGTATAGTGCTCTTGGAGAGGGGCCCTAAACTTGAAGAGGCAGGTAGGGGATAAATAAGAAGGCATGTAAGAAGGAATTGTTTTCTATTCCACCCTGTATTTGTCACACGCAGCATTGTTTCCATTCTGCTGCAGTTCATTTCCCACTGTGAAATTTGTATAGCTTTTCACTGTGACTTAATTACGTAAGTCACATGATTAATTACATAAGTTACATTGTCATTATGTTATTCTACCCCATTCATTTCCCGTGCAAAGGAAACACAAGGCGAATGGGGTAAGTAATCAATTACATATCATTTTTAGACTGAAAGCAATATCAAGGGTGACTACCGAATCACTGCATTGATTTCTGTTTGACATAGGACAAACAAGCAAGCATTGGCAACTTCTGCTCCCATTTCTGTTTTTGTTGAAATTCTCTGACATCCCTCGGTATAATTATTTAAAATAAAACAAAAAGAGTCACACCTTCTTTGTTCTTTGCACTTGTTCCTGTGTTTCTACTGGGCTTCTTTGGAAGAAAGGGCAGGTTAGAAATTTAATAAATAAAATAAATAATTTCTGACATGCCTTCTTATTACATAAAGGTACCAACAACTTTTTAACATCAGCATCACCCTCTTATAACCTGCTCTGTCTTACAATTTAGACACATAACAGCATTCATAAAGACATACAGTGGTAACTCAGGTTACAGACACTTCAGGTTACAGACTCTGCTAACCCAGAAATAGTACCTTGGGTAAGAACTTTGCTTCAGGATGAGAACAGAAATCACACGGTGGTGACGTGACAGCAGTGGGAGGCGCCATTAGCTAAAGTGGTGCTTCAGGTTAAGAACTGTTTCAGGTTAAGAATGGACCTCCAGAATGAATTAGGTTTTTAACCCGAGGTACCACTGTACTTGAAACGTGAACACTTTCCGAATGAGCAATAGAACCTGATCTATAAGAAGAAGAAAAGCATTTTCTACGTGTCATTTCTTTGTTGCAATGAAATAGAATTTTTTTATTGTTATCAAGTCAGTATAACACAGTATTCTAATGATAAAAAGGAAGAAAACACAAGGTATTTCAACATCTTCTTAAAAGTAGATTTTCTGTTGCCTTCCTAAGATGGTGGGGGGAGGGGGCAACATGTCAAGTTTAGAGTTCAGTTGTACACATGATTACTCAGAAATAAACCTAATTCAGTTCAGTGGGGCTTACTCTCATGTAAGGATGAATGAATCTGACAATTTCAGTTTTTCTTAGTTTCCATTTCCCCCCCATATTAAGTTCAGCATGTCCCATTTCTGCATTGGTTTGTGAATTTCTTATAGTTCACATGAAAAATCATATACATTTATTTCTGCAGGCAAATTATTCATACCTAATGCATTTTTGTGCTATTTGCACTACTAGCTGTATATACAGTTTGTGATCACTTTCCCCCTATGGGCATTTGCACTGGAGTCCTGCATCGCAAAATTCAGAGAAGAGTAAATAATGAACAATAGCTTCATTTCAGTTTGTGTACTGGTGACAGAAGAACAAATTAAGTAGGTTCGTATTAAAGTGTGAACCAAATGAATCTCTCCTCAGTCAGTATTCTTAGCTAAGTATGCAGGAGTGCCTTATAGTGTGATCATATGCAGCTTGGCTGAGAAGGAAGTCCCATTAACTTCAATGCTCTTTATTCCAAGGTAAGTGTGTTTAGATACCAAGTTTTTCTGACCCCACTTTCGAAGCTGAATTCCAGTGTCTGAAGGAGAGGTGGCTGCATGCCATTGCTCCTAGGCCTATGTTGTATAGGACAAAAAAGCTAATAGTTCCTATGAACTTTGGTGTGTCAAATCTGAATTGCCTCAGGAAGAGGTCCTTGAATCACCCAGACAAAACTGTTTGATAGGGAGAAAGAGTAACTACCACCACCAACCTTTGTGACTTTAACCAATAATGCCAAACCTTGCAAAGAGTGGATCCAGGTGGTGGAAGACATGGATGAAGTCATGTCTAGAGTAGAACTTTTGATCAGGAACAGGATACATCTGAAATTAGGAAAGCAAGCGAGAATTCCAATAAGTGAACACAAGCTGAAAGGTTTCACAAAAACTTGAACCACACCTGGCCAGCAGAAATGGTCCTATCTTTTTGCAGCAATCAGGAGCAGCCAAAGAACCCAAACTGATTAAAACTACAAATTTAACCATGTTCACTGCTCTCACGTTGCTCACTATCTGCTACTTTCTTGCAATTACGCATGGTATATTATTGTTGTTTCATTGGTTATATGCCAACTACAAAAACGTCTTGCAGCACTTTACATTTACTTTACATTTCAGGAATATGCAAGAGCTTTAAAACAAGCACTAAAAATAACCACAGTCCAATTCGAATAGCAACAGACAGAAATCCCGCCAACTTCTGGTCACAGTAACCAATACATTTTATTTATTTACATTTATAAACCGTTTATATTTTTTTAAAAATCTCTAAGAGGTGTACAACATAAAAACAGTAAACAACATATCTGAAACAAAAATATAATATAAAACCAATGAAGCATCACTATAAAGGCATAGAGAACCAAATAAGAACAGGAATTTGGGCATTTCCTGCAAATGACAACAGGGTCCAGTTAAAACACCCATGGAGATAATGAAAGGTTCTAACAATCCAATGCTTGGGAGAAGGGGAAAGTCTTTGGCACTGAAAAGCAGTCAATGTCATGTGTACTAATAATTAATAATACACACAGAAACTAATTTATTTCCTCCTCGGGGTTGGGGGGAGGCCTAGCCTCTCAATCTGCTCCCAGGAGCTGTAGAATCTGATGCTAGCAAAAAGGGTATTTTGTCTAACTTGATGAGGTACATTAAATTAACCGTGGCAAGGCCAGCTCTAGATTTAAGGACATACACAAACACATGGCAAAGTGCCATCTAATGTATCTATTTGCACGCCTCCTTTTTGCAGCACTTCAGGGTAAACTTAAAATGGTGGGCAATTCA